TATCTGTGGATTGCATGTCTTTGGTTGGTACAGTAGGACTAATTCCTTTCATAGAAATGCAACCTTTACGAATTTTGCCTTCACAATTTTATATTATCGATCTTCGTTATGATGGACTTTATCGAATGATACTGGTGGGAGAATTTAGATTTCCTGAAGATCCAACAACTTGGGGGACACTTATGAACTATTTTCAGGTGATGGCTACAATGCAGGTAAGCAGTCTACAATTTCAAAATAACAAATACATTTATTTTTCATTAGATCACTAATCTCAATACGACTTAAGAGTCTCGTGAATGAAGGGGCAACTAAATACCAATACGCTCGAAAGGGTTCAAAACAAGAAGATCCGGCAAATTTAAAATTTAAAAAGTCAATGTTTCATTTCCCAATGAAGGTATATAACACCATATAATTATAAATATAATTAGAATGGTTTTTCATTCGCTTTACCTGTTTTTTGACAATATGCTTGTATCTTGGTGTATCAAGGTGTATCAAAGAAATCATAATAACATGTATGCCTTACAAAAAATAACCACTTGAGATTTTTCTATAAAAAGTCTGTCACTAGAAAATATATACATATAAAATAAAAGTTTTACGTTTACTCAATAAGACTATATAAGTAGGTTGGAAGTAGATATGTCTGCAGTATTACCGGGAGGTATCAACTATTTGTTTAGGAATACCTCCAGTAGAATGGCTTGGGTTTGAGCTTCTCAAAATCGTGTCTTAATTTGGTACTTCATCTTTAAGCTCAACATTTTCAACTTCGAATTCTGCAATTCTGGCATTCATTACCAATTCGGATTGTATTTTAAAATAAAAAATCACGCGTGCGTCACAATTTGCAATGCCGATCACTTTTTCAGGAAATTAGATGCGGGAAAAATTGTTACAATAAAAATATATGGATGACAAGTACATGATAAAATAATAAAATACGTAAACGGAATGAAGAGTCGACCAGGCGGGCCTTTAAAAAAGAACCCTTTTAAATGTGGCGCACAAATATACAGTATATGTAATATATATACTCTTTTTATTTTCTTTAGCGAAAAAAAATATAATAACTAATTATTGCTATTAACTATCTCAAGATGACTTGTATCTAAATAAGTACGAATTTTTTTTCTTGAATTATTATCTATATTAATAGTACTAATATTATAAGTTTCAATAGGTATTTCAAGATCTTTTAAAACAAGAAAAGGTGTTACAGTATTACATTTGAAATATTTCTAAGTAATCGTCGACATTCTCCATTAGGTGCATTCATAACTTGTTGAACTAAATGTTTACAAAGTAAAAAACGATTTTTAACAAATGCAGGACAACTACAAGTTCAATAAGCTACTGTATGTTAGTAAAATATAAATCAGCCAAGTTGGTTTTTTCGATATCAATAGTTTGTTTTCTTTTGTCTTTTGTATATTCTGGAGATATTTTTTTTTGTTGCTTATTATTTATACTTATATAATTCCATTCTTTTTTAAAATCTATTCATTAACATGGTTCTGTAGCACCAGTTCGAATTTGTAAAAAACGATCTTTTTGTGTTAGTATTATCTCATTAATAATTGTCCAAAATAATAAATCCAATTTTGGACAATTAAAATGATGTAGATATTTTTGTTTGATTACATTCCAATGTGCTTCAATTTTCATTGTAGTTTTGCCAAAAGATATAGTAGGTTTTGTTGATTATATCCAAAGATGCCACCTATTAGCTAAATATCAATTTGTCCATAGATAAGCCCATAGCATTCATAATATATGTGCAGTACAAAATTGATACATTTCTTTTATGGCACTTTGTTGAATTTCTATTGTTGTCATTATATTTTCATAAATATTAACGGGTATTAATGAATGCATATTAAAATGTTTTTGCATTAATTTTAAGATATTCCAATAGACAAATAATATAGTTTCATAAATTACAGTCTTCTTCTATTAGATAAAAATTAAGATCAATAAAGGTAAATTTGTTGGCTGCTTGATTAAAATTATAAACTACAGTACATAATAATTCTGCTTGTTTTGTGTTGCCTTTAAGTTTAAGTTTTATTACTCGATTCATATGCCATGTGTATAATTGAATTGCTAAAAATTTCCATACTTTAGTTGCTATATTTATTTCTGCAAAATCTTTATCAGTAAATATAAAATTTGAATTGATACCATATATTTTAACAGCTTCAAAAAATTTTTTTAACATTATATAATGTTTTCCTGTAGTAATATTTGTCTTTGTTGCCTTTGTTGTATTGAAAATAAGATAAGCAATTGGAAATTCAGCTCCATTGACATCTATTATAATATTATAAAGTTTATAATGCCCTCAAGTGGTTTTATACAGTATGTTGCAGCAACATAAATCTCTATAATATTAATAATATTAATATTAATTTTCTTTAATAATGATGTAATAAATCCAATAGTTGTAGTTTCTGAATCTTCTACATCCAAATATCAATAAAAATCTTGATCGTTATATTCTTTTAATAATTTGCATGAAGATATAATATGATTATTGTAATGCTGAAATAGTTATTGATTTATAATAGATTTTCAAAAGTAAATATGCTTAGATAAATATTGTAAAATATCAAATTTCTGATAATATAAATGATTTGTTAACTCTATGGTGATAAAATATAAATATTTCCTGATTTCTTTTTATATTTTATCTAATATTTTGATATAAAGAATTGGATATAGATAGAATTTCTAATGATACCACTTTGATATTACTTCGATACCAGTTTGATATTTAAATTTACTATAAAAACATATAAATAGGTTACAACTTATATATTAAATTTACTATAGATTAGTACTATTTTGATATCAGTTTGATATCAGTTCAGTACTTTTTGGAGTTTTGGACATGAATAAAGAAACTTATAATAAATATCTATTATTGCAATTCCAAGTTTTAGATTAATCCATATTACAATTTTACTCTTGCAATTATAACACTCATGTCTCTTATGATTGAAATCTTTATATATGTTGTTTTGTACTTTATTTGATTAACAGCATGCATAAGTAAATGTGCTAATTGTATTAATGAACTTTTTTGACAAATTTGTTTTATAAAAGTTATAATAAATATAAAATTAAATTTTTAATTTATTAAAATTTTTTAAAAAAAAAAAATTAATACTCACTTTCATGAATAATCATCTTCACTTTCAATTTCATTAATTATAAGATTAGCAATTTCTCTTATTATTTTATTTTGAATTATAACAATATCAAAATAAATTAGAAAGTAAGTTTGATATATTATATTGGCAACTCCATTAATATGTATACTAATTGTTAAATCTTGTATTTCATGTTTGATAAGATTACTAATCTCAAGATAATTAATATTTGTACATACTATATCTTGAATCAGATTTTCTGTTATGGTTATAGATTTATCTGGTTCAATATTTACAATTCTATTTTGTTTACTTGAGATATGGTTTTTCTTGTATCTTTTACATGTCTTATAATGCATTCTATTTCAAATAAATCAATCATTAGGACAATTTTTTAAACACTTAATACAAAAGATCATATGTAAAGAAATTGATTTGATTTTTGAATCTATAGCTAATAAGTATTTATATTTAAAGATTATAATTGTCATAATATAAAAGAATACTAATTATATGAATTGTTTTAGTTATAGAATAAATAAGTAAAAATATATTTGTTGATAATTCTTGAACTATTAAATAGAAGATTAATAATTATATCATTGTATATAATTGAAAGAAAAAATAAATCTAATTGTATGAAATTTTATATTTATTTTTTTTAAATGAATTAAAAAATACATCTTTTATATAAATTATTTGATATCAATAAGTCATTAAATAACTTTTTAACTAATTACAGTATTTATCAAATGATAGTAGGGTAAAGAACACCTATATATACATATAGATATAACATAATATGATAATGTATTGACAATCACCTGTTTTGTCACAGTGTAAAAAGTGACAACATCATA